TGAGGAGTTGCAAATATTTTTCCTGAGGTAGAAGAGAGAACATTCAGGTTTGTGCTCTGCCTTCAGGCTTCTTTTTGCCAAAGGAGGAGGGCTGTTCAGGTACGCTGGGAGATTGCAGTGCTCCCTGGTTAGGGGCACGGAAGGCAAATGGCTCAGAAAGAATCACCATCCTCACCTGTGCTGTTTGTAGGGTGGCAGTGATCACTGTGCCCTGATCTGACCAGAGGATGAACTCCAGGGACATCAGGAGTTGCCAGAGTTCATCCTTCTGCTGTGTCTTGGGAAACTTTTCCTTTCTGCAGATCAGTGCTGGCAGTTATTAAACAAGAGCTGATTTCCTGAGGCATAGGGCTGGCTTAGTTTTCTGTTAAGGCCTGTTAATCACCCTAAAAAGGAGGCTGACAGCCACTGACAGTGACCATGGTGTCTCACTGCCTTTCATACTGCCTGGCAGCTCACAGTGCTGCCTGCAGTGCTCTGAGCATGGCTGGTAGCTTCATGGACTGGCATGGGAGAGGTGATGCTGCAGAGCCTGGCAGTGAGGGCTGGCTCCCATTGATATTCCCTGTTTGCATGAAAGGCGACTGGCATCAATTCTGCGAGGGAGCCAGGATGCTGGCTGGTAACAGCTCCAAATCAGGAGCTGAGGCTCTGCTCCCTCCCTCTGCCAGTGCCTCACTGCATGGTTCTGCACTCCCTCCATCCCAAATGACTTGGAGCTGTTGATTACTGTAGCATTTTTTAATTGCCCCTTAGAGTTATGCTGTGATATTTTTCAGGGAGAATTTAGGGGAAAAGGTAGGTGTTGCCCTAGCAAATAGCAGTGCCCCATGCAGCTAATTGCAGGCTGGGAAGTGGGGTGACAAAGGCAGAGAGGGGCTCGGCAGGTGCTCCTGCCCCCACTTCCCTGCGGGTTCCCTTCCTGCCAGAGCTTCCATCACCCTGATCACCCATGGGGGTACCTGAGGGGCAGGGGGCCTTTCCAACCTCGCCTGGCTTCCTCCAACAGCAGCATTTTGCTTTCAGCACATTCAATTTCCTTTTCATCACAGAAAGAAGAAATTTAATTTACTCTCTTAAATTACAGGGCAGCATGAGAGTATGTCTGGAAGCAGTGCCCGTGAGCTCTGTCAGCTCTGTAACATTGCACTAGGTGCCTGTTGTCCCTTGCATCCCACATCTCATCTGAAATCACGCCGAGTGGCCGTGGGGGCTTCACGTTGTGGGATGCTGTGTGTTTGTCCTGTGGGCCACGGGAGCCTGTCAGGGTGCTCCTGTTATCTCCCACCCTCTTTGTGGCACACCTTGATGTTTAGAGGACCTTGCCCTGTGTGGGGGTTGTCCTAGAGGTCATCCCAGAGGGTGAGATGTCCTTGCTGCTCTCTGATACGTGTGTGGTGGTATCAGTGCTGTTCTGTCAGTTCTGACTGTGCTGATGGAGCCAGGGCCACGTTTGCTCTGGAATAATTTCTCTGTGTTCAAAGGACCTGAGGTCCCCAGGCTGAGATCTGAGGCTGGATGCTGGAGCCCAGTCAGCAGGCGCTGCTTCTCTTCTGCTGGGTCTGTCTTGGGCTGCAGCTGGTCCTGCTGCCTGGCAGCTCCACTGCTCTTCTCCCTCAGCTTCACCTTCCTTCAGTTCATGTCTGTTACCAAGCAGGGAAGGTGTCTGCTGGGACCGAGCCATCGCAAACCTCTGGGGAGTTTGTGGTTGCCTAGAGGCCACTCAGTGGATCCATTCTGGGAGTCCCTACACTTCCTTTGAACTCTTCCTTCCTAACTGAGGGGATCTTTGAGTTTGAAATTTCTCCTTTACCACCTTTTCTGCAGAAGTGTTCAGGCATCTCCACGTGAGTAACTGCAGATCTCCTCCTGCTGGGACCATTGAGGTGAGCACTTGGAAGCAGCAGTGCATCTTAACTCTAAATCTGTTCTCAACATTGAAGAGCAAATGGGCTCAGGGGTGTCTGCTGGCACCTGTGCACGGTGAGCTGCTTGTACCATGCTGAGGTCAATGACTCTGAAGGGCCACAAGCTGAGTTACAGTGTCTCTCATAGTCCTGGCTTTGTGTTTCTACCTGTTTACAAGACCCTTACCCTGTCTGGGCATGGAAAACGTTGTTTTTCTGATCTTCAGCCTTGGTTTGATGGCAGATAAGTATTTCATTTAGGAGCAGGTCCACAAGATGCACTGTTCCTGTTTGTGGGATTGACTTCAAAAGAGTCCTAACCTTCCTCCATCTCAGCTGCTCATAAATGTTGCTGGTCAGTTTTATTTGATGTGGGAAGCTTGCTGGAATGCTCTTCAGCCCAGAGATAGAACACAGTGAGAAAAACCAACATGCAAGGTAGCTGAACCAAATCAGATTGGGCTTTTGGACAGACAAGACTCCCGTTCTCTGCATGCTCCACGTGTTGAGGCAGCTGAAGCCACGAGCGACCAATGTGACTTGGCTCTGTTTGTCTTCTGGAGATCAGAGCTTTCTGTTCTCTGGCTCCATTATTTGCAGTGATGCTGAGAATGGTGCAGCAGAAGGAGTTGATCACAGTCCTGTGCATTGCTGTAGCGATCTTTATTCTTCTTTTGGAAAAGATTTTTGTGACAACAACAACAACAAAAAAAGCAAATTAATTCGGTTCTTGTGTTTCGTTTGCTGGAGGCTTTGGGTCTTTTTCACCTGAGAGGGCAGCTTTTGTGGGGCTGTGTGCATGCTGAAGCACTCCCTAATGTTTTAGCACTGCCCAAATATTTCTTTGCTCTTTCTACAACCAAATTTCCTGAGTCTGGAAAAAAAAACCAGCAGTAAAAGTGGTATGGTGTACCTTCTTTAAAGCGTTTGCTCTTAAGTGGGATTCAAATAGCAACTGTATGTGGATTTCAGTCAAAGTCAGTGAGGAAATGCACCTAAGCGAGGCAAGATGTAGATTGAGGCCATTAATTCATCACTCCCTGAAGCAAAATCAATGTATTAAGACATTGTCAAACCTGTTTAAGCCATAGTAAGATGTCAGGCAGAGTTAATGGCATGCAAGTTTTCCTTGTGGAGCAGAATACTTACGTGCAATTGGACCATAGCATTATTTGCTCTTCATCTCCCCAGATACCCCAAAACTAGGGAAATGAGGTACAGAAGAGATAAGTGAAGTAGTTGTACTGAGGAACGGTGGCAGCACTGACGGGTTTATTTAGGGTATGCTGTGCAGCCAGCACTGCTGGGATCTGAATGGATCACATTGCCACAGTCCATCTGCTCTGGGCCCTGCACCTCGTGGAGGTGCTGCCTTGGGGTGGGATGCTTGGTCCCTCATCTGAAGATTGTGAGCCCGAAACCTTGCTGAAGCTCACGGCGTTTGATCAAAGCTGGGACTTGGACTTGCCAGCCTCCTTGAAATACTCTCTGTGCCTCTTCCTTTTGTGCCCCCAGGGATTCTTCTTATTTGGGCAGAAATTTGAGTAACCTTTTCATTTGCAGAGGAGCCCTTGAGAACAGTCTTGTCTCATCAGCGTGGAGCTGCATGATGCTCTCCTAGCCAAACTGGTTTCCTTCCCCAAAATAGTATTTCTAGGCACTGAAGCAATTAAGGTATATTAAAGGCCAGTGATGCACGTCCTGTTTTTCTCACAAGGCAAGCCTTCCAGATTCGCATTCTGCTTTGAAGATTCTGCATGAAGAATGATGAAAGACTCCAGCAAATCAGCTCAGGGTAACACTACCTGTATGTCTGCAGCCTTGGAAGAAAGCAGGTGTGAAGTGTGCTCCTTCCAGCTGTGTTATTTTGCATCCTTGCAACAGCTGCAGGCCTGGAACTCCAGTGCCCACCTCATCAGACGTGCCTTCAAAGATTCTGCTCTTTTTCTCCTTTTCCCCAGTCAAACCCAGGCAGGGATTTCAGTCAAGAGGATTCTGCGAGCAATGAAGATCTTTGCAACTTCTTTCCTTCATCAAGGCCAGGTTTTGGTGCATCTTCTAGGAGTTTCAAGTTGCTCCTGTGTCTGCTGTGCTTCTGCCTCTGCTCATTTCCCACCTGGCTCTGGGCACTTCCTTGGGACCTGCTGCATTGCCAACGAAAGGTAGAGAAGCATGTTCTCTGTTCCTCTTGCGTCCTTTGCAAGCAGTTGTACTTACAGTGTTGCCTTGGAAATCATTTCTTCCCTGTCCTCTCCCCAGTAACATCTTTGTTAAGACACGCAAGCCCTCTTCTCTGGGAATTGACTGCAAAGTAAATTGCTGGGAAAGTTGCAGTTTGAGAGCAGATTCTGTGGTTTTGTTGGCTGCCACAAACTTGTACTGCTGAGTAAACTCCATTTAGCTGGGGCCTATGTTTTTTTCTCACACTTCTCATTTAGTAGAGTTCAATTTTCCCCCGGGAGCCTTCTTATTAAAACTCGCAGCCTCTTTTCTCCCTGGCCAGTGAATCACACGTGAGCTGGCTGAGCACTTTGTGAGCTGTGTCCGGCGTGGGAAAAAGTGTAGAAGCTGAACAGAAACTGTGCAAGAACACACATGAGATCTGCTGCAACGGGACCAAGAGATCCCAGGAAGTGTGTCATCAGCCTGGAAAACCTGTGGTGTCTACCTGAGCCTCTTGGCCCTTTGTAGGGAGCATTGTGTGCTGCTCACGGGTCTTTTAATGGCCCTGTTCGCCTTCAGGTGCTCACTGTTGCAAGGTCTTCTGCTGCAGAATTTATTTTCTCCCTTCTACTTGGATAAGTGAATCCTCCTCTGCCACCATTACTTCACCAAACAGAGCAAATAGAGTTGTCTTTCTTCATCATGAGTTATTAGCATTGTCAGTTACTGTTTTCTGCATAAACGTAATTGCTCTGTGCAAGGAAAGCTGGGAGCTCAGACCAGGGCCCCAGCTCCATTCTCATCTTGAAGGATCCACCTAGTGTGGATTCTGACTTTGCTGCTCTAGTATGAGTCTCCAAGAAAGCTTGGGTGAGCTCAGGGGCTGTTTTCTTTGTGATCTTCCCTTCTACAGCTACAGCTCCCTACAAAGGGAGAGGTCCCTTCTTGTGCTTTCATTTTGGCTGTGCTCTGAGCTTGGGTGAAGGTCAATGGAACTTCAGCCTGTTTTATTTACTTGGCCCACTTTAGAGGAGTGAGGGAGAAAGGTTTTAGAAATGCTTATGCAACCTGCTCTGTTTGTATGATGCTGGCACAGAGCTGATGACACTTCTGCAGCCTTGGGGGCTTACAAGTGTGAATCAGAGGCTGTTTTCCTCTACTGATGCTCCTATAAAAATCTGTAAATATCGGGAAGTCCCTGCTCATAGCTTTTCTATGTTGCTCCGCCAGTTCATCTGCCAAAACCTTCCCCTTGATCCAGCCCAGCCCTGCCTGGCTCTGCAGGAGGAAGGCAGCTCAGCCACCAGTCTCTCCCTGCCTGGGCTGCACGGCTGTAGGCAGGAGCCAGCAGTGCCACCCAGTGCCCTTCCAGCTGCTCGACTGCCAGAGAGGTGCTGCGTGTTCCCTGACCTCCTGCAGCCGTACTTGCACGGCCATGGCTGTCTTCTGCTGCAGCTGCTGCTGGAGGTGTGGTAGGTCCGTGTGTGAGGCTGCTCCCCCGGGTCGGTGCTGCTGGAAGGAGTTAAACAGAAAACAGCTGCATGGGAGAACTGCTTTACAGCTCACTGATAATTGAGGCAGGATTCTGTTTGTTTGGTTGGTATGATTTTCCTTTTTCCACCGCAAAGATCTAATGCCCTTTCTTGTATTTATCAAGCAGGAGGGTTTTGCTACAATACATTCTGTATCAGAGAACTCGGGGCTTGAATGTTGCTGACGAGAACAATTGATTTTTGTTTATTTGTTTATTTATTGCTGGAGAGAACTGAAGCAGTAAGTTGTAAGGCTTTAGCTCCTCTGGAGGAGCTTTATTTAGAGAAGCAGCCTGATCTTGGTGCTGACACAAGCTCATGCAGCCCTGCACACTGCTGGGGGCTGTGCAGCAGAATGCTGGATATCTCGCTCCAGTGCCCGGGTCACCTCGAGTCATTCACAGTGGTAGTCTGAGCTTCTGGCCAGGGCTGGCTGGCATCTCTTGCCCTTGGGGATGCGTGGCACTTGGGGCTGGCACAGCACCAGCTCCCTATCTGCAGGAAAGACGTAAACTGCAGGTTTGGGGCACTTCCCAGTCTTGCACCCTGCCCTGTTCCTTCCTGTCTTGTCCTGCTCTGAGGAGGCCTCGGGCGATGCCTTTGGTCCCAGATGACACCCAGGGGTAACAGAGACCTCTGGCTTGTTTGATGTGTGGGTGCCAGGGCTGTGGCAAGACAAGCAAGCTGAGCAGAGCCCTCAGAGGCGGTCATCACTGTCCTGAGGTGGGCTTGGAAATGCCTTATGAATCCTTTCACTGTCTTCTGCCCTGCTTTAGTTAGAGGAGAATTCCTGCTCCTTAAAGGGAAGCAAAGGACCAGCGATACCTTTGCAGTAACTCTCCCTTCCCTCCTAGTAACAGCCTTTTGCTGCCATCTCTCCTCCTCCAAACAGTATCCAGAGGCAAACAACTGCTTAACCTGCCTGGGCTTCTCTCTCTAGAGGCTGTCATCTTGGCCTTGGGCTTGGTGGCACTCATAGATCTCCAGTGAAGAGCAAGCAGTGAGGTTTCCTGGGATCACATCACACTGACAGCACCATACTTGGCTGAGTATTTTTTATTATTTTTTTTTTAAGGTATTACAGTTAGGCTGCTAAGGTAGGTGCAGTGCTGCTAAGGTGGTGATGCCTCCTGCCAGCTGACGTGCCACGTCGCTGAGTGCTGAGAGGCTGGGCACCCTTTGCTTGCGTCATCGTGCTCCCTACAGAGTGCCTGCTTCCAGGAAAAAGCCCTCCTGTGGGTGGGTGAGTTTGCAGGTCACTACGGAGTGGGTTTTGTGAGGAGAACCCCTCTCCTGCAGGGCACTCAGGGAGGTGGCAGGCAATGTTTATCTCAGTTGCGTCTTCTGGGGCTGGAGAGCGTGTGTCTTATCATACAGCAGATGGGTTTGGGGAAGAGATGGCGGAGACAACTGTATTTTCTCACACAGGCTTGTTGCCTGCCAGGAAATGAGCCAGCCAGGCTTTATAGGGAGAAGTAGAGACCCTGGGCAAGCTGTTGAGGGTTCCTCCTTCACCCAGCATCTTTGTGAGAGGTAAGCGGAGCCATGGGAGAATGGCTGCTGCTGTGGTACTCTGAGCATAGGTATGAGGTCTGCTGCATGAGGATAGGCCAAGGGCCAGCACGCAGCACTGCCTGTTCAGTTCTGCACCTGCTGTCACCTCGGGACCCTGGTGCTCCAGGGAGGGAGTGGGATTGTTCACCAGTCCTGGGCAGAAACAGGCTGCAGTTGTGCACTGCCAGTCGTCTAGGCTGATGCACCAGTACTGGGCTGGGGACAGCCTAAGATGCCTGCCCATGTCCCCTTCCATTTCTCTGCATCTACTAGATTGCATTGAAAGCTGTGTGGTTGCTGTGCTTGGTGGCAAGATGTGACAGCCTCCTGAGGACAAGAAGACAGGGATGTCCCTACCAGCTTGCCATGCTGGTGGTCCTTCTGCTGCCAGGAAAGTCACAGATGCATGAGGGAGCAGCAAAAGCAAAAGCTGGCAAAAAGCAAGCTTTTCTGGGTGCTGTCAGATTCAAGCAGATGGAAATCCCAGTGGTGAGCGGGCTGGTGTTACTGGAGTGGATGGCATGGAAGGGCAGAGGGGGGACCAGGACAGGGATAGCAATGCCAGGGAGAGGCAGCAGCTCTCTGTGGCTGTTGTCAGAACTGGGGACAGACACAGGCAGTGCAGCAGCAGGGCAGAGCCCTGCAGTGTTCTGGCTGCTGCATCCTTTTGCCTGCCTGGCCAAGGGAAGCCGTGCTGTCTTCCTGAGCCTGCAGCTCCTTGCTGGAAGCACATCAGGCACTCCTGGATCATCCCACTGTCCCCTTGTGTCCTGTTGGGTATCCTGTTTTTTCCCTTCTCTCTACTGACACAGGAAAGGGGGTGATTTCTTTCTGTTGTCCTTTGCGCAGCGGGAGGAGCTGGAGGGTCCCAACCTGCGGTAAGCAGTGCGGCGTGCGCGGTTAGGGGTCGGTTTTTGAGCCCATGCTTCTTCAGCACTGGATGCTGCAGGATGGATGTGGATGGCGCTGGTTGCTGGCAGCCTTTGCTTGCCTTTTGCTGATGTCTGTAGTTTGATGAGCCTTATCCAGTAAGACAAATGGATGTGACAGGATCACGGTGCCCTTCATGGCCCCTTTTGCTTCCCTGCCTCTGCTGGAGCCGGTCACACAGCTCCTTCCCTTTCTCTGTTTGAAGACTGGTTTCCTTTTCAGACATTCGTGAGCTTCTACAGGGAGAGACTGTGCTCATGGCTGTAGAACTTCAGGCAGAAAAATCAATGTTTATATTTCTTTTAGCTGGGAAAGATTCTTGAAAGAACTCCAGCAAATAAACGCCTTGTAAAGTTCAAACTGTGAAGGCACGGTATATGAACCCAAATGAATTTTCAAGCTCTCTCTTGAAATAAAATGGATTTTTTTGGATTCAGGCTTTATTTAGAGAAACGTTTGATTAAAGAAGGGATTTGAAGGTTGCATCTGATCTCCTTGTGAGGGAGAGCTGCTCTGCTACTAGCAGCAAGATGTGGTTGGGAAATGTGGTTGGATGCTGCTGGGATGCTCCTGGGAGAGCAGCCCCTGTACCCAGCCATGGGGGGTGGCTTTTGCTGTGTCCTCTGTCCCCTCAAAGCCCTGCTGCTGCAATGCAATCAGTTCAACTGCCTTGGGAAGCTGTTTGTGCAGGTGCTGCTGTTCAGGATGCTGAAGGGCAGCTGGCACCACACTCCCTCCATGGAGTGCATGAGCATCTCAGAGCTTTCTCTACCTGTCCTCTGTAGTACAACACGTTTTCTCTCCCTTCTTTGTTGCAGTCTGTGCTGTGTGGATGGTGAGCCCTCTGATTCAGGCTGCTGGCTCCTTGCTCTGGGGCAGCCTGAAGTCAGTGTTCCCAGGAAGAGCTACGGGTGTGGGGTGGACTCAGAGGCTCTGCATTACCTGGAGTGCACTAGTGCTCTAGTGCTTTGCATTTACCTGCAGGAGAGCTATTTGGTCTTTGTACAAAGGAGGAGGAAGCAGGAAACTCTGTTTCAGCCCAGTATGGTTGAACGCTTCAGGAAGTGACCCAGAGCAGGGGACAAAGGGCATCTGAAGTGCCGCTGTTCTTCCAGTTTCTCATTAGCACATGTGCAATCAGGGCATCGCCTTCCTGAAAGCACCAGGAGAGCCACAGTGAGGAGGGCTGCTCTCTGTAAGCCCAGAGGGTACCACTGCCTTTGGCTTGTGTTGGATCTGTTCCTGTGTTCAGGTGTCAGGCTTTTCCCTGCAGGTCTGGAGGCTGAAACCAAGGGCTGCCAGGGTCCCTGGCCTCTCCACTTCCCAGGTAAGCAGGGGTGCAGCTGGGGCATGGTGCCCCCTGGAGTCAGAAACCTGCTGCTGACTGAAATGGGGGGAATTGGGAAATGCTGAGCCCCTGGAACTACTAGCTGGTGCCAACAGAGATCTTGGTTCCCTTCAGCATGGGTACCTGAGGTGAGCCTGGAGGAGAGGAGAGCAGAAAATGCTTCAGAGGTGGACTGGAGTGGCTCTGAAAGAGGAATGAACTGATGCTGGGAGCAGAAAAGTGGGCTAGGTGTTGCCCAGCTGAGGCATGAGCAATTCTCAGGTGTGAATGCCCATGCTGGTCAGGTGCCCTGCCCTCCTACTCTGCTTCCTGGTGCAGCAGAAGGCTCACTGGGGTTGTGGACTGCTTTCTGTGCCCTTCCCAAGGTGTTTTGGGTGGAAGCTGGCACGCTGCTGTGCACTTGCAGAATTATGCTGTCAGTGCCAGAGAAATGAGTTCCTGGAGAGCAATGGCTGAATTGCTGCTTATTTCCTTCCTGGAAGCGAGGTCCTGCCTGTGCCAGCCTGGGGAACACCTGATGCCCCCGTGTACCTGCTGGCCCTTCGCTCACTCTGTCTTTGCTCTCTTCCAGCCACTCCCACTCTCCCGGCTCCATGGCTGCCGTGCACGAGTGGTCCTGCACCCGCTGCACCTTCCTGAACCCCGTGGGCCAACGGCAGTGCTCCATATGCGAAGCTCCGCGCCAGAAGCCTGACCTCAACCACATCCTGCGGCTCAGCGTGGAGGAGCAGAAGTGGGCCTGTGCCCGCTGCACCTTCAAGAACTTTTTGGGCAAAGAAACATGCGAGGTGTGCGGCTTCACTCCGGAGCCGGGGCCCAGCGGCTCTCCCCTGCCTGTCATCAATGGCATCCTGCCCAAGCCTGCAGTGCTGGTGGAGCCCAAGGGCACAGCCAAGGAGGAGGCTGCCAAGGTGGAAAGCAGCAGCGAAGATTCAGAGGGGAAGAGTCCTGACGAAGCAGAGCTGGAGAGCGGCTGGGCTTGCCAGCGCTGCACGCTGCACAACACTCCAGTGGCCAACTCCTGCTCGGCCTGCGGCGGGCCACGCAAACTCTCCCTGCCCAAAATCCCACCGGAGGCGCTGGTCGTCCCTGAGGTCATCACCCCTGCTGGCTTTCACATGGCCCCTTCCACCCCGCAGTCTTTAGTCCCCACAGAGATCTCTGACGGTGACGCTGCAGCCACTCAGGGCCCGGTGGCGATGGAACAGGAGGCACAGAAGATGCCGGCCTTCAGCCCCTTTTCCCCCGGGCTGCAGAACAACCCAGTGCCCCGCAGCCGTCGCGAGGTCCCCCCCCAGCTGCAGATGCCGGGCCCCGAAGCACCGCAGCCCGGGGCTCAGGGCACTGCGGGGCAGAAGGGCTCCCCACAGGGCCAGGCCAGGGCCGCGCCGGCTGCTCGCCTTCAGGAGCTGCTGTCCAACAAGCGACTGAGCGTGCTGGAGGAGGAGATGGATGTCAGCCCGTCCCACTGGAAGTGCAGCACCTGCTCCCTGCTCAACTCCGCCGGGACCGGCAAATGCGAGGCCTGCAGCACCCAGAAAGGCAGCGACACCATCAATTTAGTGGGGGACTCGGTGAGGTTCACCCCCTGTAGCCCCTCCAGCCCTGACTTCACCACCTGGTCCTGTTCGAAGTGCACCCTCAAGAACCCCACCGCAGCCCAGAAGTGCAAAGTCTGCGGTTCCTCCAAGCTGCACGGCTTCCAGGAGCACAGCCCACAGGGTGAGCCATCCCCCCGCTGCCCCGAGTGTGGGGCTGGTGAGAAGGGCAGCTGCTCCTCCTGTGGCACCAAGGCACCCTCAGCTCGCAAGGTCGCCCGTCTCTTCCCATCCCAGCTGCCTGGTGCTCAGGACCGGCCGGGCCAGTGGGCTTGTCCTGCGTGCACCCTGCTCAATGAGCTGAAAGCCAAGCACTGCGCGGCCTGCCATACCCCGCAGCAGTACGTGGCCCAGCGCAAGGGACTCAAGCCCCTCAAAAGGAGGGAGAGCATGCACGTGGAAAAGAGGAGGCAGACAGACGAAGGAGAAGCCAAGGCCCTGTGGGAGAACATTGTGACCTTCTGCAGGGAGGTGAGTGTGAGCTGAGCTCCTCTTCTTCTGATCTCGCTTGGAGAGCACCCTTGTCACTCCTGCCCTGTGGATCTGGGATGTGGCTTTGGACAAGCAAGCGGTTGCTGTGACTTTGGGAGTTGCAGAAACATTCACTTGCAATGGATGCATGCTGGGTCGTTGCACTGAAATGTGTAGTATTTTAAATGTAAGGTAATTTCTAAGGTGAAGGGGCCTTCCAAGGAACCTATCTGGTTCACTCTCTGTCCAAAGGTGAGGAAGTGTGAGCATGAGCTCTGGCTCATAGCGATACTTCAAATCAGTGAGAGAGATCAGTGCTGAAGGAGGCATTCCTAGGTGATCAGTCCAGTTCTTTACTGTCCAGGAGTGAAGGTTGGGAAGGAGTGCGTGCTGGTAGTCCCAATGTTTCTGGGCAGCAGCTGCAGTGCAGGTGCAGGAAATCAAGATGCTACAGGCAGAGCTCAGAGCACTGGCAGGCATGCGAGCAGAGGACACTGTTACTTCTGCAGCTGTGAGTGAGCCTGGGGTTCTGAGGGCTTCCAGAGTCCTGCCTTTGTCCTGCACTGTTTCTCTGTCCTGAGGTTTCTCAGGCTGCAGATATGTTTGCAAATATGCAGCTGTAAGTACCTCACCACATCTGGGGAAGGACAGCAGAGGTTGAGCTTTGTCCTGGTTCCAGGTGAGGGTCTCAAGAATGTGTGTGCTTCCCTTCCGCTCTGCGCTATCTGTTTTAATCTGTCGGGTCTCGGTCTCAAACAGCACTCTCATGGCTCTGTTTTTCCCCCAAGTGGCAGAAGATGCTCCTGCAAATGCTGTTCTTTCTCTGCTTTCCTTCTGGGGTAAGCCTCCAGCTTCTGTGGACCAGATGGAAAGGGAATTGCAGTCCCATTCTGACGCAGACAAGATTCTTCCTGCTTGGGCCAAGGAGTGCTTCCATGCCTGTGTCTGTGCTGTACAGACTGGTCATCATGGAGGTGTTTGACCTAGGAACTAAACCACTGAGAATGATTCTGTTTTGGGGTTGTTTTTCTTTTAATTGCTTTGTGTCCTTCCTTAATAGACCTGGGTGTCTTTATAGCAGAGAGACACTGATTCTGCAAGTGAGCATTCTCTTGTAGGCAGGGAGCATCTGCAATGTCCAGTAGAATCAGGCCTGAATATTAGGTGAGATGGCCAAGCTGAATTAGCAGCTCTCCAGTGCTAAAAGGGGAAGGAGTCTTCCTCACCTCATCCTGTGCAGCTGTCCGTAAGAGCAGAGGGGATCAGCGTGGGCTGCCTGACTCGTGGAGCTCCCACAGTGGTGGGATGGTGCTGCTCTCAGACTCCTGCTTTCTCTTCTCCCTGTGTGTCTGTGACTTCTTGCAGCAGCCCAACCACAGCTCCCCCTGGCCAAGCTGGGATGTCAGGCAGCCTCAGAACATCCTCCTTCTGGCTGCTGTGTGTCAGCACTGGAGGGGAGCATCAACTGGCCAAACCTTCTGTCTGCTGTCCATGAGTTGTAGGAGCAGCCTACCTTGCAGCAGAGATTTCTGCCTCCTCTGTTATTCCAGCAGTGCCTTTCTCAAAATCAAAACCCTTGATGCAGAGAGTTTCAGTCCAGTGCCTGGACCCCATTTTTAGCTTTATCCCCAGGCCCTCATTTTTAACTTAATCTTTTCATGTTCATCTGGGAGGAAAGATGGTCTGACCTCTGCCGCTCTGCGCAGGGCTGCTGCTTCCTGCCCTGTGCTGTCCCCTCTCTTGCTCATCCTCCTGTCTCGTGCTTTTCCTCTCCTCTCATTCAGTGTCCTTCCCCTTTCTGCATAACGGCGTGTGTCAGCAGTACAGCGGATTCTGCAGAGCCAGAAACACGACCCAGGACTCTGCTCTCTGTGCCTGCTCTGGCACCTCTGCCTGCAGAACCATTCTGTTTGCAGTCTTATCCCCTCGCAGGACAAACAGGCAGAGCTCCTTGTCTGGCACCGTCTAGGAGCAGACTCGCTGCTGCCCTGGCGAGCGTGCAGGAGCCTGGCAAAGTGTCCACCAAATGTCCTGTGCAGCCAATGCTCCCCAGTCTGTCACAGCACAGGGCTTCGTGGCGTTTGGATGCGTGTGCTCTGAAATGTGCTGTGCCAGCTGCACTTGTGAGCGTGGATCAGATGCTCTCCTTGAGAATGTGGATCCTGGGGACGTGTCCTCCTTGGCCTGTATTTTGTTTGCATGGTGACAGTGAGCTGCAAAACACCCTTCTGCAGAACAGGAGCGCTAATTGAGGCACTGTGTAGAAAGGGTTCACATCAGTGAGCTAGAACTGCAGCAGAAGAGGAAGGACAAATACCAGCTTGTTGTATATAAAAGCTCATTTAAAGCAGGAAGAATTTAATTTCATTTAATTAACAGTAACAAATCCCGGTTCTTACTTCACCCTGTGTTAAAGTGTCTGGAAAAGCCATTCTCCTCCCCTCGGAGAAATTCTGGGCTTCCATCCTACATCTGCAGCTGATACCTACAGGATCATCTGCCTTTCAGTCCATCCTGTTTTATTTTATTCTTTTTATTCTGTGATTATCCGGAGCTCAGGGCTGGGGCTGCAGAGCCAGGGCAGCTTAGCGTGGGGCTCGTGCTGGGGAGGTTGGTTGCCAGATGCTCCCTGCAGGCCTGCTGCTCGCCTGCTTCACTGCTTGTAGAGGCAGCCAAGCTTCCCCACCGTCTGACTTTTAGCACCAGTGTGAGGTGTGAGACATTGCCTGCCCAGAAGGTTCCTGTAAAACAGAGAAAGGCAGATTTGAGCTACAGCTGGGAGCCCTGAGGAGGGAATGGGCTTGTGGCTCTGAGCTGGAGGCCCCGGGAGCTGCGTGTGCCGCACAAACTCATGCTATCCTTGCCTTTTGCTCTTGCAGAACAAAGTCAATTTTGTAGATGACAGTTTCCACCCTGGGCCCAAGTCTGTGGGATTCCCAGAAGGTGACAGCGTGCAGCAGAGGGTGAAGCAGTGGTTGCGGCCCCACGAAATCAACTGTAACATCTTCAAAGACCGATCGGTGAAGTGGTCGGTGTTCCGGACACCCAGACCCTCGGATATCCTTCAGGGACTGCTGGGAAACTGCTGGTAAGGAGGCGTTGAGCTGGGTCACCCTTGCTGCTCCTTCCCCCAACACCCAGGTTGGGTTCAGACCCGTCAGCCGTACCCAAGCCCACTTACATGGGGTCCATCCTCCCCTTCCCAAGCACACATTTGCTGGGCAGGGGCATTGCCCCGTGCTGCTCACCCGACCCCACTGAGTGCATCCCTATTCCCTGCAGGTTCCTGAGCGCCCTGGCCGTTCTGGCTGAGCGACCAGAGCTGGTGGAGAGGGTGATGATCACACGGACGCTGTGCCCTGAAGGCGCCTACCAGGTGCGGCTCTGCAAGGATGGCACGTGGACCACAGTGCTGGTGGACGACATGCTGCCCTGCGATGAGTGCGGGTACCTCCTCTTCTCACAGGTCAGCAGCTCCGATGCCCACAGGGGGGTGGGCAGCACTCTGGGGAAAGGAGTTTGTGCCCAGTTGTCTGTGCTGTAGTTTACATGGGGCACCTTCTGCGGGCTGCGTGGGTGCTGTTTGCTGCACCCTGAGCTCTGCTGAGCTCTTTGAGGCTGTTGTGTAAACCCAACATAGACCTTTTGGTGTTTTCCATGCTGCGATGGAGAAGTTGATTTTGCAGTTGTTTTTTTTGCATCGCTCCTCTCTGCATTGCAGGTCAGTTCATGGGCATGGGAGGACATCTTTACGTGCACAGCAAAAGGAAAATATTTCTGCATGTTTTTGCACTGAGGGGGCAGAGAGGAGCTGAGCAAAAGCTGTGTCTTTGCTCTGCAGGAAGGTCTGGCAGCTTGGCTTTGCCAGGGAGGGGCTGTGGCGAGGGGGGGAATGCACAGAGCAGCCAGTTTGGAGCCAGTGCCCGGTGGCTCTTAGCACACTCAGGTGGCATCTGCTAGGATGAATGAAGCTCCCTGAGCCACTCTGGGACGTCATTGCGCATTCTGCCCTGCTTGCCAGGCCCAGGGGCACTTGCTGGGATCATTTCCATGAAGGAGACTGAGAACGTCTTTATTGAAACTCAGACTGCAGAATCTGTCAGCCAAACCGTGCTGGAGACAGGGAGCTGGGACTGTTGGGTTTGACTTTGTTCTGCAAATCCAAATCCTTTTTACAATACACACAGCTCCAAGCGTGCAGACTGTGAGGACGGCACTATGGGGAAGCAGGGCCTGGAGATGAGCATCAGGGAAGCTGCATGCTGGTGCAGCTCACAGAGTCCCCAGCCTGAGCTGCACTCAGCATCTCCCACAGCATGAAAGTGCCCGGTGTTGGCCTTTATGGTGGGCAGGATCCAGGCAGATGCAGTTCTTTATTTTCAGCGTAGGATTTGCCTTTCTAGACTTCCCTTCCCCTCCCCTTCATTCATCTTCACTCCTTTTATCAATTTTGAGTCTGCACTGTTGTTTTTTTTTGAGACTGAAGCTTTTCACGGGCGCTGGGCTTGCCTTGCTGCTGTTTCCAAATGCGTCTGAATCGTGATGAGATTTTTCTGCGGGGTGTTCAAGTGTGTGAGCTGCATGTGGGGGCCTAGCAGAGGAAAGCCAAAGAATTTTAAAATGAAAGGAAAATCATGCTTTTGTCAGTGATCAGAGGCCGCGTCAGCCAGAAATAAACACCATGGATTTTGTTGAGACTCAGAAACAAGCCAGAGAAAAGAATTTGTGAGCTTTCTCCAGTCTTTGCAGCCCTCCTTTCCCCTCCTAACCCTTGGCGGCCACCTGTGAGTCACACACAGCCACACATGTACTGGAGTTTTCTCCTGCTGCCCTCTCAGCACAGTGCTGGAGTGTCACCAGCTGAACTGGATTTGTTGGAGACACAGAAGCCTCGCTACCTGTCTCCTTGCCTCCTGTGTTTGTACACCTGCAGCCTTTGCAGCCACGTCTCCTCCCAGGGCTGGCCGTGCCCAGGACTGTAGCAAAGCACCGCTGCTGGCTGCACCATGAGCCACGCTGAGTGGTGACTTGGACACAGCTGAGAATGCTGCACACCAATGCTGTGTTGATGAGTTTACAGAGGCTTCATAAACCTCTGGGTACATTAATGCGTGTTCTGTGTTTCTGTATGGATTCCTGCTCAGTCTGGCTGTGCCAAGATTTATAGCCTGGCACCACAAGGGTGCAAAGAGAGTTTTCCCCCTGTGAAAACACATCTTCTCATTTCATCTCGCCTCTGTCTCTGTGCTGGAGCTAGACGAGTTTGCCTGAGTTTGTGGAGCTTGTCCTTGAGACATCTTCTGGGTTCCACATGTGAAATCTGATCAGCCCTGAAGCTGTGTGTGCTCTAGGCAGCCTCTTCCACCAAAGGTGTGTTGGTTTTTGTTTGCGAGTGTTCAAGTGTAGGCCTGCTGTTCCATGTGTCTCTCATGGAACATTTTGCAGTCTGACCCACTGAGGAAGGAGGTGGGTAGGAACCCCTTCTGTGTGCCCCAGGCTGCAGCTGTGTTGGCATCTAAGCACTGGACATGTCAAGAAGAAAAAGGTTCTTCATGATAAGAGTGGTGAGGCACTGGCACAGGTTGCCTGCAGAGGTGATGGATGCTCCATCCTTGGAGACATTCAAGGTCAGGCTGGATGGGCTCTGAGCGCCTGATGGAGCTGTGGATGTCCCTGTTCGTTGGAGGAGAGTGGCACCAAATGGCCTTTAAAGGTCTCTTTCAACTCAGATGGTTCTGAGATTCCATGATTTTCCCAAGGGGGAGTTGAACCACGCAGACAACGCGCTGAGCAGGCAGCAAAGGGTTCATCCATGGCCTCGTGGGGCTGAGCTCCTGGTCCTGCTGCCACTGGGGGCTGGCAGAGGTGGGTGAGCTGGGCTTTGTGAGTGCTTGTCCATCTCCTGCTCGGAGTGGCTCATGATGTGTTTCTCTTTCCCCAGGCCCAGAGGAAGCAGCTGTGGGTCGCGCTCATTGAGAAGGCCCTGGCCAAGCTTCATGGCTCGTACTTTGCCCTCCAGGCAGGGCGTGCTATTGAAGGCCTGGCTACACTAACCGGCGCCCCCTGCGAGAGCCTGATGCTGCAGGTCAGCTCCACTAACCCTCGCGAGGAGCCCATTGACACTGACCTCATCTGGGCCAAAATGCTGAGTTCTAAGGAGGCTGGGTAAGACGAGGCAGGAGGGGCTGTGGCAGCAGTGTGGGAGCTCGGAGAGGGGGATGAGGGGGGCAGCTCTCATCTGCAGAGGCTCAGAGGAGGGAGGGTTCGTGCATTACTTGGAGTGGGGCCTTCCACGCTTGGAGTTCACCTCAATTGTAGACTGAGCCTCCAAGCTGTGAAGTGGTTTTTCCTTTGTTTAATTTTCGTATGAAATTAAAATCCTGGTGAACCTCGTGGTTTTTATCTCCCAGAAGTTTAGATGGCCAGTATCGAGCCTGTGGGGTTGCTTTGCCCGTGTGCAGTGCTGGGGTCACAGCTGGGATTTTGCCATGTGGGTTCATGCATCCCAGCATGTGGTGCCCCCCAACCTGGCCCATTCAGCCCCCCCATCCCAAATGTGTTGTTCTCACTGCTGTAGAGCAGCATGCAGTCAGCTGTACTGTTTGCCTCTCCACTTGGCCCAGTCTATGGCTCTAGCAGAAAATGGGTGAGGTTTGGACACAGCCAGAGCTTCCAGGCCTGCAAGTGGGAAGCGATGGGATTGGGCAGGGCAAGGATGGCTCTGCACTGTTTGGTGTGATTTGGAAGTCAACCAAGCGCTCTGCTCTGAGGGCACTGCTCAGAGAAGCTCACCGTGGAGCCTGGGCTCAGCACAAACCCCAGAGAATGGAGGAAGGTCATTTCTGCTCGGGGAAAGCTGTGCTCAGTAGGACCAGGGCCCTGCTTCAGGGAGTGGTTGTGGTTGCAGAGGGATGTATGAGAGCCTGCTGGGGAGAGCCTGTCCCGTGCCTCAAGCAGTGGGTATGAGCTTCCATCACGCCTTGCATGACATCAAGCATTCTGCTCTCCCCCTGCAGGTTCCTTATGGGTGCATCCTGTGGTGGGGGCAACATGAAAGTGGACGATGTGGCCTATGAGAGCATGGGGCTCCGTCCACGGCATGCCTACTCCATCCTGGACGTGCGGGATGTCCAAGGCTTCAGGTGAGTTCAGGGCAGAGGCTGGCATAATGCAGCACGTGTCCTGCCAGCAGAAAACCCTGGGGACGAGTCTCCTTTCTCCTGAATGTCTGACCCCACTGGTCCCTATCCTTCAGGTTACTGCGGCTCCGAAACCCGTGGGGTCGCTTCTCTTGGAATGGCAGCTGGTCTGACGAGTGGCCCCACTGGCCTGCTCCCCTGCGCCACGACCTGATGCCCCATGGCAGCAGCGAGGGGGTCTTCTGGATGGAGTACAGCGACTTCATCAAGTACGGTAGCAGCCAGGGTATAGAGGCAGTGAGGGTGGGAGCAGGCAGTGTGACGGGGGGGGACCGTGGGGCAAAACTGCCTCATTTAGGAATTTCTTTGCTCAGAGGAGGCGAAGCCCCAAAAACACAGAGCAGTGGGCAGCAGTGGAGACCCAGGGTTGCACTTCCCCTTCTTTGCAGGGAGGATGAGAAAGGGAAAATGAGACACCGAGGCAAAATGGAGCAGGCATAGCCAGGCATCGCTCTCTGGGTGCAGGTGGTGTTGCAGGGTGGGCAGCTTTGGGCTGTGTGAGCTGCAGCATGCCGAGGAATGGGACAGAGCACTACAAGACCTGAGAACCCCACAGGCACTGAACCCAACTTCCCCACAGGTATTTTGACTCCGTGGATATCTGCAAGCTCCATTCAGACTGGCACGAGGTGCGTGTGCAGGGCATGTTCCCCAACAAGGCCAATGGACCAGTGACGGTGACATCGCTGACAGTGTTGGAGCGTGCTGCCCTGGAGTTTGCCCTCTTCCAGGAGGGCAGCAGGTGAGTTGGGGCAGTATGAGGGCTGCAGGAAGTGACCAGAGCAGGGAGAAATGCTCAGGGCTGTCCCTATCATACCTCCTCTTCATCCTGTGTTGACCCTTGGGCTTGTAGTGCTCGGCAATGAACATCCATTGAATCGTAGAATCACAGAATGGCCTGGGTTGCAAAGGCCCACAGTGCTCATCCAGTTCCAACCCCTGCTGTGTGCAGGTCACCAACCAGCAGCCCAGGCTGCCCAGAGCCACCTCCAGCCTGGCCTTGAATGCCTGCAGGGCTGGGGCATCCACAGCCTCCTTGGGCAACCTGTTCCAGTGCCTCACCATCCTCTGGGGGAAAAACCTCCTCCTCATATCCAACCTAAACCTGCCCTGTCTCAGTTTAAAACCATTCCCCCTTGTCCTATCACTATGCATCCTCGTAAGCAGCTGTTCCCCCTCCTGTTTATATGCTCTCTTCAAGTACTGAAGGCCACAACGAGCTCTCCCTGGAGCCTTCTCTTTTCTAAGCAACCTCCCAGTTCCCTCAACCTTTCCTCATAGGAGAGCTGCTCCAGCCCTCTGATCATCCTAGTTCCCTCCTCTGGCCCCACTCCAAGAGCTCCACGTCCTTCCTGCGCTGGGGGCCCCAGGCCTGGACGCAGCGCTGCAGATGGGGCCTCAAATTGGCATTTCTCTGATCCCCATGGCTCGTGTTTCAGCCAGAACCCAAGCCTGGGCACCATTTCCTGGAGCAGCCCCCAGTGCAGTGGAAGGACTCTGAACCCATGGCCTCTGCACTCTGTGGGGAAGCTCTGGTGACGTGCAACCCTTCTCCCACCCCGGCACAGGCGGTCGGATGCTGTGGACAGCCACTTGTTGGATCTGTGCATCATGGTTTTCCGAGCCACCTTCACTAGCGGCAACAAGCTGAGCCTCGGCCGCTTGATGGCTCACAGCAAACGAGCCGTCAAGAAGTTCGTCAACTGCGACGTGATGCTGGAGCCGGGCGAGTACGCCGTGGTGTGCTGTGCCTTCAACCACTGGAGCGCTGCGCTGGCGGGCCCTCCTGCCGCCCAGGGTAAGGGGCTGCACGCCCTCCACGTGGTGCTGCTGGGGGAGGCGTTGCGGGAGGCAAAAGTCAAGTGCCCTCGATCCTCCTTGCTGTAGGAGATCCGCTGGGGATGGAGGTTGCCCACGTGTGCAGCGCCCTGGTCTTGAACTTGGGGGCGATCTCATCCATCTCCCTTTCTCTGCGTTGTCGTCTCTGCAGCATCCAGTCCCACCAGCAGCCGGCCGGCCACCGATTACTCCAGCTACATCCTGGCCATCTACAGCTCCCGCCTGGTGATGGTGGAGCAGGTGGAGGCGCAGCCCACCACGCTGGCAGATGCCATCATCCTGCTGACTGAGAACAAGGGCGAGCGCCATGAGGTGAGAGCAGTGGCACGGGGCGGGACGGCGATGCCAGCAGGACTCTGCCTTCATCACACCCTCAGTCTGGCAGGAGCCAACCGAGCCCTGGCTGCCCCCAATCCCTCCCTGCCCCACGGGTGCCCGTCTTTTTTGCTCCGTGGTGCAGCATGGGGTGCCTCATGGGCGGGCAGTGCTCAGAGGGTGATGCTGCACATAGACACAGGGCTGCCTGTGTTCACACCCCTGACCATGCCATTTGCTGCTGCAGGGCCGTGAGGGGATGACATGCTACTACTTGACACACGGCTGGGCAGGGCTGATCGTGGTGGTGGAGAACCGGCACCCCAAATCCTACCTGCACGTCCAGTGTGACTGCACCGACAGCTTCAATGTCGTCTCCACGCGTGGCAGCCTCAAAACACAGGACAGCGTCCCTCCCCTGCACAGGTCTGGGGTAGGCAAGGGGGGGAGGAGTCAGGTTGAGGGTCAGCTTGGGGGAGGAGGTGATGGCACCCCGCGGGTGCTGGGCCAAGGCAGAGCCTGGGGTTGGGGGGGAGCCGCGATTCACCGCGTGGTTGAGCGCTGAGCCCCGCTGTCTCCGCAGGCAGGTGCTGGTGATCCTCTCCCAGCTGGAGGGTAACGCCGGCTTCTCCATCACCCACCGCCTGGCGCACCGCAAAGCCACCCAGGCCTTCCTCAACGACTGGATGTCCACAAAAGGCACCCACAACCCGCTGCTCACACCCGAGGTTGCCGGACTCCACGGACCCCGACCTCTATGACGAAGCGCCGCTCCTGCCCCGCTCCTCTCTCCCGTTGCTTTCAGCGAGCCTCCAGCCCAGGGTTTCCCCCCATGCTGCCAGCACTGAGCCGTGGGGCAGGGCGGGAGCGTGGCACCGAGCACTTTGCCCTGTGCCACGGGGCTGGGACAAACTCTCAGGGCCGGGACCAGCTCTGCCCGCTGCCCCCCCACGCACTTTACGAGGAGCAGTCGGGGGGCACGGGGCCATCTCAGGATCCCACCCGCTTTGGGCACACGGCGTGGTAGCAGGGGGCTGCAGTAGACGTGGGGGCTGGAGGTTGCAGTCAGCATCCTTGCCAGGCACCACGCTCAGGGCTCTGCCCCGTCCTGCAGCACCGGGGCCCTGGTGCTCCAAAAAGAATATACCTCTGACGTCTGTCCGTCTGTGTGACCCTCTGTCTTGTCTCCTCTGTTGTCTGCTGCCAGGACTGAGTGGGCACTGAGGTACTGCGGCTGCCGGGGTTGTCCCCACGCGTTGGGGCCGGGATGGAGAAGGCGCAGGGCTGTTGCAGAAAGCTGCTGCTGCTGGTTTTCACCACACTTCGGGGCAAAACGAGGACGTAAACCTCGGCTCCAGGGTGGGGAGCAGGGCTGCGGGGTGCTGCTCCGTCCCCCCCAAGCCATCGCAGTGTTACTATGCAAAGGCGGCCGCTGGAAGCAGCGCCTGGAGAGAAGCCATGCGTCCCCTCCCCGCGCCCTGCGGGCTGCACGGGGCAGTGGCACGGGGCACTGGGGACAGAGCTGGGCTCTGGGGAGCAGCTCCCGCAGTGTGGCTTTGCTGGGGAGAGGGGCGGTGATTCCGTAGGCCGATGGTGAGCCCCGTCCATCGGAGGGACAGCAGTCAGCACAAGGCAAAGGCCAAGAGCTGTGGGGGGCCACTGGGGTTCCATGTTGGGGTGACCCTACGGCCGGCTGGCTGCACACAGCTGGGTGTGTGTGTGTGGCTGTGGGTGTGTGTGTGTTGTGGGGGAGCTGCTCTGGGGCAGCCTGCAGCAGTGGGGATGTGTGGGTGCGGGGTTTGTCCCTCTGTCCCTCCCGGCCCCGAGGGCTGGGGCTGCTGAGCCAAGCTCTGTCTGTGTGTCTGTTTGTCGCTCTGTTCTCTCTTCCCCTGCACCTTCCTCCTCGGGATGATTTGTCCTTCACTTTTTCTCTCCGTCTTTCTGAGCTGTGAATATTTTTAACCCTGTAAATACTGTCCAGCTCTTAAGAAACATAGGATATTTTATCAATTGTAAATCAGATCAGTAATCCCTGTATGATATGAATTATCCATGGGTGGTTTTCAAACTCAGGTTCTGACGGACCAAATAAAGTTTTGTTTTTTACTGAAGCTGCCTGGTTTCACTGTGCTCTGGGGAAACTGCGGAGAGGTGACAGCCATCACCTGGCTGGGGGACCAGGACCTTGGGCACTGGGGCAGGCTCCAGGACAGTGGTTGTGGCCCCAAGTTGCCAGAGTGCTGTTGGGACACCGTTTTCAGATGTAGGGTTAGGACACATCAGCACAGGCTTACCTGCAGGAGGAGCTGGGGGTGCTGGTGGCCAACAGGCTGGACGTGAGCCATCGTTGTGCCTTGGGTGATGGTTGGCCTTGGGTGTCTGGTTGGCCAGTGGTTGACTGAGCACTCAGGGTGCCCTTGAGGCCAATGGGGTGGAACCTGGGGGGCATTGCAGAGAGGCCAGCAGATGAGGGAGGTGCTCTGTGGTCTCCTGGGAAGTCTGTTTCTGTAGCACTGCATCCTGTGCTGGGCTCCCCAGTTGCAGACAGACAGGGAACTGCTAGAGAGAACCCAGAAGGGGGTGCAGAGATGGAGGGGGGAGCTGGAGCACATCATGATGGGGACAGGCTGGGAGCCCTTGGGCTGTTCAGCTGGGGAAGAGAAGGCTGAGGGGGGATCTGATCAATACCTGAAAGGTGAGAGCCAAGCAGATGGGGCCGGGCTCTTTTTTGGGGGTCCCAGTGACAGGGCAAGGGGCAATGGGCACAGAATGAAACTTAGGAAGCTCCAAATGGATGTGTCTGCACCAGAGCCCTGAAACAAGCTGCCCAGAGAGCTGGGGCAGTCCGGAGATGCTCAAACCTGTCGGGTCGCTTTCTTGTGCAACCTGCTGCGGGGAGATGCTTCTGGGGGAGGCAGTTGGACTGGGGGAGCTCCAGCGATGTACTGCGGTACCGTGACTGACTTTAGGCGCCCGGCCGGCGGAGGGGTGCCGAGGGACTGAGGTGGAGATACTCCATCACCGTACGACAGCTGCACGGCCGGAGCCGCAGCGGCCGGGAGGTGGCAGCCGCTGCCCGCGGTGCCGCTCCTACGGACCCGACGGCAGCGCTCCATCCGCAGCGCCGCACGGAGGTTGGGGGGCGAATGGGGGCTGAGGACGGGGACGGCTCCTCCGTTGCGACCCCCACCGGGGCACGGCTCAGCTCCCCCCGCCCGGGGCCGAGGCCGGCTGGCGCGGAGCTTTCCGGCTGAGCGGAGGCGGCCGGCTGCGTGCCAACCCCATCTCGCCCCGGGTGGGCACCTTGAGAGACCAGTAGGGAGAGACAGAAGGAGAGGATTTCTGTCTTTCTTAAAGCAACTTGTAATAGATTTTCCGGGCGAAACATCTTTGCATTCAGGAGGCCCTGTCACAAGCCATCAGCCTCAGCCGGGGAGAAACAGATGGGGAGTTAATTTTGGTGGGGAGGGCGGGGAGGGCACTCTTTTGCTCTCTCCTCTCTCAGTCTGTTCAGGGATGGAAACGTGATGGCAGAGGCAGGATTTAACCCCTGCGTCCCCGCAGCCCCGCGCCCTCCTCGTGCTCCTGTCGTGCCGGCAGTGCCAGGACCTCGGCGGTGGCACCCGCCGGCCCAGCAGCACTTCTCCTGCCGGGGGGAAAGGGCGGCATCAGCACAGCGCCTGCCGCGGAGCTGTAGGGTACCTGCGGCACCGGCTGAGCGCAGATGTGTTGCGCTGAGGGTGGGGATGGGGATGCATAGGGACGTGGATGCGGCACATCTCCCAGCAGCAGCTGTGCGCGTGCAGTGACAGCAGCGATGCTGCCCGTGTCCCCGGCCATCAGCGCAGCCCTGCAGTGACTGAGTGATGTGGGACGGGGAGCAGCGGCTGCGGCAGGATGGGAAGTGACGACTGCAGTAGTTGAGGGTTAGAACTGACTGCTTTACAATGGCATAGAATTGTGTGCCAAAAAGATATTGTTGTGTTTGAATGAGCAGTTTCATGGCAGCGTGGCGCTTCATTAACTATCCCTATGGTCCCTTAAATCCTTCCTTTTGGGAAGAAGTTTTTCCCCCAGAGGGTGGTGAGGCACTGGAACAGGTTGCCCAAGGAGGCTGTGGATGCCCCAGCCCTGCAGGCATTCAAGGCCAGGCTGGATGTGGCTCTGGGCAGCCTGGGCTGCTGGTTGGTGACCTGCACACAGCAGGAGGTTGGAACTGGATGAGCACTGTGGTCCTTTGCAACCCAGGCCATTCTATGACATTAAATCTATGAGATTAAATCAGTCATAAAGAGGGAAGTGGGGAAGGGGCAGTGGAGCAGCTGGTAGCAAGGGAGACAGCCAGTGGGATGTGAAGAGCGGTGTCAGACCCACAGATACTGCACACAGTGTGTGTGACAAGGGGCAGCAAGGGGCTTCCCATGGGGATCTGCTCTGACCTCTTTGTGAGACCCCGACCCAGGGGATGTGGTTATGAATAGGCATTGAATGGGAACATTGGGGTGGGATGGGGCTGCCACCGTGGGATGGAGAGCAGCAGAGGGCACGAAGCCCCCCCAAGCTGCCAGCACTGCCCACCACCCCGATGGCAGCTTTGTCTCCCCTGTCCGCAGTTCCCTTGGGCTGGAGCTGCTCTGGTGTTTCCCGTCTCACCAATGCCATCAGCCCCTGCCCCGGGGGAGGGGGGGGATGAACGCATCCTCCCTCCACCTGCCAAGCCCGGGGTGGGTCTTGCAGGTGAAGTGAGGGTTCTCGCCGTTCCCCACGTGCACGAGCACGGCCCTGGCTGCCCGCTATGCCCTACCAGCAGTGCCAGCACTGCTGGCCGCACTGCAGTTTGTGGGGTCCTGGCAGGGAGGGGGCACGCCGTGCTCGAGCACTCTCCGTGATTCACTCTGACTATAATGGGAGCTGCTGGTGAATATTTTATGGCTCCCACAGGGCAGATAGAACATATTGTGCATTTTACGCCACAAATCTCCGCCTAGAGACAGAGAGAGGCTTAAAAAGAACAACATCACCAGCGCTGCGCGGAGGCGGAGGGGGCTGCACGGGGTTGGCACTGCTGCAGGGGCACGGCCGGGGCGTGCGGCTCCCGTCCTCGTCCTGTCTCCGTCTCCGTCGCCGTCCCTGTCCCCGTCGCGGGCGATGCGGTGCCGTGCGGTCTCTGCCGTTGCGCTGTGCGGTCGTTGCGGCTCTGCCCGCCCCGGGCTGGGCGCTGCTCTGCGGCTCTGCGGCGCAGCAAAGTGCTTTGCCCGCGGCTCCGTGCTGCGGGGGGGGGGGCCGCTGCCCGCTTTGCCCGCGCAGGGGCACTCCTCCCCCTCGTCAATAATGCAGCCCCTGCCCCGGTCCGCCCGCCGGCACTGCCCGCAATAATGGATCGGGGACGAGAGATGCTCCTGGCTCAGCCCTGCACCCTGACTCCGTGCTCAGCGGCCTCATCGCTGCCGGGAGCATCTCCGGCCAAGAGCCGCCGCTCCGCACCGCCCCGCACCGCCCCGGCCCTGAGCCACGCGGCGGGCTGGGTGCTGCCTGCACCCCGACAGCCCGGCTGGGATGGGAATGGCAAACACCGACAGTCTGAGCTGAGGGATGCGGAGCTCACGGAGCGGGACAGCTGGGAACCAAGTCTGAGAGCGGCTAATTGGGTAACGGAATGAACGCCGCACCTTTGCTTCCCCTGAAGTCCTCAGACGGGCAGCAAACTCCGCCTAAATTAAATGCAAACAGTGCTGCGGCGTTGGAGCTGGGCCATGGCTTTGGTGTGAGCCGCGGTGGGGCTGGTGGGGGATGACAGGGACACGTGGTGCTGTGGGTGCTGGCACTGCATGGGCCCCGGGTGCCATTTTGGTGCTTAGGCTCCCTGTCCGCTGCCCCAAGCACAGGCGCTGCCCGGCAGGTGGGAACCATCAGGGTATTGCCAGCAGCTGCCTGCACTGATGTGGCCTTGGTGGGACATGGGAGGCAGCTCAGAGCGTGGCAGCAAGGGGGAAGAGGACAAAGCAGATGAGGATGATGAGGACCTGTGAGTGCTGAGCACTCCCGGCTCCCTCATTGCAGCACAATGTAGCACAAGGGCCTGATGTTGGGGACAGCCAGACTCAGGTTTGGGTTCCCCTGGGATGTGGCTGTGCCAGCCCTGGGCACCCCCAAGTTCTGGGGCAGCCCCCAGCTCTGTAACATGGCCATGCGGCACTCGTCTGTGACCCCCATATTCCCAGACCTGCTCTGCCCCATTGCTGATGGCTTTATGAGGTGACCCAGCATCTCCCCGGGGAGAGCAGAGCTGCACCCTGAGGATGGATGGGGCTGCATGGGATCCTTACAGTGGCACGTGGTGGGTGGCTTCACTGCAGTGCCATCCTGGAGCAGCGCTGCCCCAGCTGCATTCGGGACCATGAATAGTGCCCAGGGAAGCAGCACAGCATTGTTAGGGCCATGCTGGGAGGAGAGCCCTGGCCACTCCAAGCAGCTCCCAGTGCCTTCTGCCCATCTAGGCATGGGGATGCCCTGGGACGGGGCCGGCTGGCACGGCTGGGCTGCAGCCACCGCATTGCCCGGGCTGTCACGGGCTGGGCTATCGAATCTGAAAGCAATTAAAGCCATCATCAGTGCTAGCTCGGGGCTGGCTCCAGGCTGCGGGGAAGCTGCCACAACAGATCATGCGCTCGATGCTGCTGGCCCGAGGACCCGGCTCAGCCCGCGCCTGCTCCCACCCGCGCCGTGGGGCAGCGCCCTGCAAAACCCCGCTGCCATTCACACTTCCAGTGGGTGTCCGGCCCTGGGACTGAGCCCATCTGGTCCCCGTGGGTGTCCCATCCCATGGGGATGTCACGTTGTCGTGGCCACTCAAAGCCACACGAAGCTACCACCAGTACTGGCTCCATGGCTGCAGGGCTCGGCACGGTGAGGGGGTGGCCGTGGGGTGGGTGCCCCAGGGTGCCAGGGAAGGGCAGTGTCCTCGCCGGCCCCCAGCTTAGGGGGGACACCCCAACAGCTCCTACTGGGTTGGGGGCGCTGAGGGGTGGTGAGGACAGAACCTCGGCCCCATGGAGCTGGGCAAACAAAGATGTGCTCCCCTCCGGGTCCCCAGCATCCACCACACCAGGTC